AGTTCTAAACTCTCTACAGATGCCGACTTACACTTCATCCTAGGCGAAATAAATTTAGGCTTTTAAAAGTAGCTAAGGCGTGGAACAGGGTAAAGCCTCCTGAAAGATTACATCTGTTTCGCCTAAAACGAAGTATTGAGTAGCAGTATAAAGCTAAGCTTATATATTAGATATTAAGAAAATACTACTTGGGAAATAGTAAATTAGCTTTACTGATTTGATAAGGGAATGGAATTTTACTAAGTTTTGTCTATTCTGGGGTACGCTACAGATTCAAGTATAATCTAATATTCCGCGGCCTAGTCCCTTGAATAGGAGATTGATTCAGTTAAGAACTAGCCTCCTTATTTACATAACCTTAACTCGATTAACCGATTACTCCCTCTTGTCACGAATCACGTGCTCACATGATACTTGTCATAATAAAGAGGCGCAACCCTGGACAGGCACATCCAGGTTTCTTATAGCAAATAGGGATGCTTAGACTAGCTAAGAGATCCAAGGATTTCTCGTGTATGTAGTCACGTCATCAATCGCATCGCCTGTATCGACAGTCGATGTTAGCGATAGGATAGTCACGTGATCAATCGCATAGCCTGTATCGACAGTCGATGTTAGCGATAGGAGGTCGACTACATCGACAGGTAATGTAGGTGATGTAGAGAGAACGAAGGTTCTATATAAGACTGGCACGTCTGCCATTAGATAGGAGCTTCGTGCTCAACTTAGTTATCAATCTTATCATATTAGTTTGACATCTTTGATACAAGTAACGAGTTCACTTCCAAGTGAACAACCCGATAGTCTTCTTCTTATCATAGCATACTAACCAGCGAACACCCAGCCAAGTTTAGTTAGCCAGTTTGAGTATTCGTTACAAATAATTACTTAATTAGATTGTTATATTATATGTAAATATAGTACAAAATGGAAATGGCTAGTAGTCCTAGATTCCTACACGTGACTTCCACATTCGGCTAGACCCATATCCACTCTCGCAGGGAGATACGGTATTACAGTAACCCCCCCCCTGCGCCACCGCAAGCTACCTATCCGTATAGTCTAGTACCCCACCAATGACGACACCCCACCACGCCCATCACGACCTCCCAATTACCCTTAACACCACTCCAAACCATCCCCAACACCCATAACACCCCCCAAAACCGCAAAAACGAAGACACCATCAGTTCCCCCTCGCGGGCCCTCAACCATCTCCCTCCGTACAACCTTCCTCCTTACAATCCTCTTCCTCCTCTTCGTGTGGCCGAGTCTCTTCACGCCTCTCTTGTACCTACTTCCCTTCCGCTCCACCCCCACCACCCACCAATCCAGCCCCGACAGTAGCAACCCCCAAGAAAACAGCAAGGCAATGTCGTGGTCCCAAACAACCCTCACGCTGCCCCCGAAATCGCGGGGCTCGTATCTGATTACGGATCATATATTGAAAGAGGTGCCTGCGATACGGGAGTACAAGGTGGGGATTCTGCATTTGTTTATTCAGCATACGAGTTGTGCGTTGAGTTTGAATGAGAATTGTGAGTTTCCCGTTTTTCCGTTTCCTCTTTAGTTATTCTTGAGGGCTGTTGGGGGAGGGGCAGGGAGTGGGGTTGGAAGAGGAGGGATCTAATAGGGAGAGAGGGGTAGAGGGGTAGAGGGGTAGATGGGAAATGAATGGGAGGCTAATGCGTATTTTTTGGCTTTAGGGGATGAAGATGTACGAGCTGATATGTCGGATGCTCTCGATCGAATCGTACCCGAGGATAAGAAGGGGAGGGGTGGCAATGGGCTGTATAGACATGATGCGGAGGGGAGTGATGATATGCCTGTTCGTTCTTTTTAATTCCTCTCCTTTCCCTCCTTTTCCTCATTACCCTTCATGACCTTCTTACTTTCTTCATTATCATACTAATTCAACAATCCATTCAGGCACATATCAAGAGCGCATTAATAGGAGCAAGTGTCACGATTCCAATCAAGAATGGCAAGTTGGCGACGGGTACATGGCAGGGCATTTGGTTCCTGGAGTTTCGAGCTGCGAAGCATTCGCGAAATGTTGTTGCTACAATTCAGGGGGAGAAAGCTTGAGTGGCAGGGTGGTGGTAATTGAACATGCAGGGGAATAAAAATGGAGTTATTGGTTGGGAAATTAGACACGAATGACTTTAGGGATGGGTGAAAGGTGGGCCCCAAGCGCACCAAAGTACGCCTCCACTGATGAAAACTCATGACGCCTGTCGAAGCTCAATCCCGAGTCTCGAATGCTGATGTGGCTGTGTATCCATAAAACTCCAACCCAGTTCTGTAAAAAAGGTTTTTGGTCCCTAATTGCCCTCTTCATGAAACCTCATTTTCGTCCTTGACATTCTCTCCCTCTCCATCAACCTTCATCTCCTCGTCTCCTCCTGCCAACACGATTGTCTTTGGAACATATCCATCGGGAGCCACACCAGGTGTACATGCCACTACTTGACCACTCTCATCCACAAACTCAAAGTTGTATCTCGATAGCAGATGTGGGATTGCGGAAAGCTGGGGACCATAACGAGCGGTATTATCGTAGAGTTCGAAGAGGGGGACTGCGAGAAGCTTCATGTTCTTAGGAACTGACAGAACCTCTGAAAAACATTAGTAAATTCTTAACAAGAGGTGAGGAACAGAGAAACCCACTTTGTCTAGGCAATTGGATGAAGTACAACTTCTTGCACTCCTTCGGTCTCGTAACATGAGCAGGAATGAAGGGATACATAAAAGTCTCGAAATTCGGTCTCCACCACTGCGCAAGCGTATCACCAATCTCCCACTCCTCATTCACACCCTCGCCACTAAATTGGTTTCCTACAGGTGCCAACCGCTCATTCAATCTCTCCTTGAAGCCGCCGATCTCCTCGTCCTCGGGTTTCAGATAGTCACCGGGTAGCTTGAAGAAGGCATTTGCGATCTGCAGCATCAGGATGTGGGGATGGTTGTGTTCGTGACATACTAGGATGCCCTCACAGGTCCGACGCATACCATGGTTTTGGTAGTGTTCTTCGAGGCGGCGGAGGCGTGCGAGGACCGAGGGGTCTTCTTCTGGTTGGGTTTCTTTGGTGCCAAAGGTGTAGTTGGAGAGGGGGTAGAGGCAGATGGTTTTGGGTTGATTACCATTGAAGGATTTGGGGAGGAGAGGGGGATATGAGGTTTGGAGGGCCGTTGACGTGATGGTCGACATGATTGCGACTGCTGGAAATTGTTTGGTGGGAGTGGTGGAAGAGTGTCAACCGACAGCCTTGAGAGCTTTGAGAGCTTCAAGATTGCCTTGCGTCGTTGCTTGGTGCAGTCCTCGGCATCATGTCGGCACAGCCTTCTCCAACACAGGCCCCACTCCTAACTTATGGTACATGTACACCTTCAAATGGTATTAGTTCAATCCTGATCAACACCCCACAAAGTCCTCACACATTTCTAGCACTAAGACAAAAATGGAATGAAATTATTTTACACAGAAGCAACCCACATCGCATAAAGGTTTTCCTCAGACGAATCAGGCAGTGAGTCTTCAACAGAAGGGTGGCCGGGCAGATGCTCAATCAAATATTAAGCTGTGGAAGCGAGGATGAGAAGTGCCGCGAAGAGATTCAGATGTAACCTATATAGTACCATTAGCCATTTCCCGCAACCTCTCATTACCAATCATTGATATGAGAGGGAAAAGGGGAAGGTGGGCCTACATCTGCCACAGGACACTCCTCCACCAAGTCCTCCTCAGCGCATGAATGTAGACGGTCGTCCTATCCCATGAAAGTACAGCCAATGAAGTATATAATACACAATCAACCCGGTAACCACCGTCCCACTCCGACTCGTTATTCCTTGTCCAGATGGACTCCCATCAATAAGATTATACACTCCCTCCGAGGATAATGATAAAGAACCATTCGTAGCGCTCAATATAGTGGTCTATATGCAGTACCCTCTTAAATCCCGGAATGAGCAGCCTGTCCGCGGTAGGAGAGAGCAGGAAGACCGCAATGGGGTGTTCGATGGCGTTTGCTACTATAAACAGGTCGAGACGAGCGGGGTAGCCAATAAAGATAGCTGCCATCCAAAATGCGGATGTAAGACAGGTAGTCAAGAGCTTGAAGAAAAACAATCTCCAAAGGAACGGAAGGAAGATGCTTTGCACGAGTTCAGCAAGGAGGAACGAAGGCCTCGCCACAAGATAAATCGCAACAAGCAGTGTCAAACTCCTCGCATCCCCTTCATTCTCACCTCCTTCACTAAACGCATACGGCGCATTAATACCATACATCACCGACAAAACGAGGATCCAAACCAGGAAATTCCGCTGCAGTATATCATCCGTATAGAAATTAACACAGTACACCCTAAGCCCATCCCAGATCCTCCAAATGGGCAAGAACAGCAGTATAAATTCCAACACCGCGATTCCGATATTCGACTGGGAGCCCGAGAACGCTACCTCGCTGAATGTACTCGCAATGTTGGCGATGATTCCTACCCATACTAGATCGATGAATAGATCTAGACGAGAAAGCTGTTCCCTTGTATCGTCTTGGGGGTGCTGCTCGGTATCTCTTATGCTTGAGGTACTTTCCTGGTTGAGTTGGTTAGGACCATTGACCCTGGAGCGAGAATCGACTAAAGTGACAGGTTTATATTGGTGAGCACGCGCTCTCTTGACTAGTCCCGCCTATCTCGATGCTATCTTCTCAATCAGTGCTTCCTCGAGATTCGTACGACTTCGTGATTCCTCCGTGATCCATCGCTTTGCAGAGTTCGAGCTCTGATCGCCCTCCCCGTTGTTGAACGCTTCGGTTTGTGGGGTTGATTCTGTCTCTGTAGCTGGTGCTGTGGTGTCTGATGAAGACCCCGCGGCCATGGCTCTGGTGATGAGCTTGAAAGGGCGATATCTCTATGGTCTGCGGTTGCAAATTCAAACTCGGGTTAGATGTGAGGTTATCGATATCTAGCATCGCGCCACAGAACGCCACGATGGGCGGGTCTTTGATCCATTCCATTCGCTTGCGGTTGAGGAGTGGAACGATCGTAAAATTTGCCATATTCTGAAGTTTGAGGAATAGGCGGTTATGATAAGTGCAAGATAACGAGGAAGAGTGGGGCGATATATTCCATATTTTGTTTATACTAGGCTAAGCGAGGCCAACAAAATCAACTACTGCAAACTGACTTAACAGTCCCCTGAGTTAAACACAAGAGAATAAGGACTGGAGACAACAATAATCTTATACGCTTCATCATGGTCTATACTATTATCTCCAACATCAAAAGTAAAGCAATTAATCTAATGTATTCATTCATCCCTTAGCACGTGTTCATTATATATTCGTTAAGAAATGAAGAGATCCCAACGAATCCTACCTATAACCCATAATAACCTGTAAATTCATACACGCCTCCGATTGATCAATTATTTCGCGTACCATTTGTCCATCAATCCCAGCTCTTTTTTTGTGTTCTGAGAGGTTGTTTATATGACCTCAGAGTCACTCAATCTGAAAGCGTGTTGTCGCAGTAAAGATTACGCTTGTGGATACAGATTTCTGCACACTGATTCTGGCTATCTACAATATAGCCTGCCTGCCACTTCTAACGTGTACTCCACTGATATGAAGGCGTTGAGTTACTAATTCGATGCTGCCTCCACTTCTTTATCTGATTTGGTAGTTGGTTGACTTTCCTGTATGCTACTCACCTTGGTTCCAGTTTTTGGTTTGATATTTGCCTCATTGGCCACGGAAGATGCGGCCATTTCTGTCGTTTTCTGACCTGATGACTCCTTATCCTCAATTTTCGTTGTTGTTGACGCCTCACCTCTCTTCCCAGAACGACCAGAATCAGGCTGCTCCCCAGATGGCTTCTTATAGTCTGACTTATTTGTGTCAGAATTCATTTTGACAGCCTCGACAGTAACGATATTCGTGTTCGTGTCTTTGACATGTTTCTCATCCCGTTTCTCCAGACTCTCGACCGTTCCAACCACCTGCTCGATCTTTGAAGGAATCTTCTTCCCCGAATCCTCACCTTTCTCCCCCTCCCCATCAGCATCTCCATCCGTCCCCCCTTCATCCCCACTCCTCTCTTTTATCTCATCTTCATCCCCCTCCTCCCAAATCAAGACCTCCATCCCCTCATCCATCCCAAAAACCCTAAACCCCACAACCGCAACCGCATTCCATGCCTCAACCTCATCCTCCTCCTCATCGCCCCCACTACTCCTCTCCTTCGCACCCGCCCGATGTCTCCCTCCCTGAGCTCCCACACCATCATCATCGCTGAAGAGATCCCCAAACTCACTAATGGGACTTGCGCTCGACTCGCCCTCATCCGTGATGTAATTAGGTTGCGGCGGTGGACCACGATTATAATTCCTCGCTTGAGAAACCATGGAGTTTTTCCGGTTGTCGCTTCGGAAGGCGGGTGGTGGGGGAGGGGGACCAGTTTGGATGGAGCCTGAGCGGAGCCCGGATTGTGATCGTGGGGATGTGCAGAGGATGAGGGAGGGGGGTGTGTCAGGTGCTGCTTGGGAAGACGCTGATGTAGAGCGGATGAGGACGGGGTCGGTTTGGCAGGCTTTTTCTGTGTCATTTAGTTGTTGAGTTTCCGTATCAGATGATTTATTTTCGGATTTCGCTAGTTGCTCTGGGGACTCTGTTTGAACGCCCTTATCCTCGATGATGACTGCTGCTTTCGCCGGAATCGGTTCAGTTTGAGATCCTGCATCCTTTGGCTTCGCTTCGAAATTTACCCTAGCTTCCTTTTCATCTTGTATTATCTTCAACTCCCTCTTCTCCCGATTCTTCTTATCCTGCTTCCGGAAAACATCCCGATGCAAATGCCTCTTCTCCCAATTCTTCCGCCTCGTCGCCATCCTTGTATCTTTAGCTTTCTTTCTCTCCGCCGCTTTCTTCTGGGCCGCCCTCGATTCAAGATGTACCGTCGCCTTACTATGCGCAAAGTCATAAGAAGCACCGACTTGAGCCAATTTCTCATTGTCAATCTTCCTCTTACACTGTCTCTTAACTACCTCTTCCACGGTCAATTGTCCAGGATGACGTTCCGCAACAACCTGAATGAATACTGCATACGTCCCTGCAGCCAAGCTCGCCAATTCAGCAACCACACTTCGATTCATAAGGTAATTCCCATGACTTCTAACAATGTAATCCTCCTCACCTTCGACACCCACCTCATGCACACGAAACTGGAGACGAAAATCATACTGTCCTTGCAGACCCTCAAAATACCGATCATCCAATTGCGAGAGCACCATAACAATAGGACTTTGCTTCGTCAAAACGATCCTGAATTTCTGGTGAAACTCCGCTTTCCAGGGGACTTCTATACTGATCCATTTTTGCGAGAATCTCCAGTCCGGAGAGTCCATAAAGAGACGTGTACGGTCGAAATGTTGATATTTTCTTAGTAGGTCTGAGTAAGAAATCCAGAATACACTGTCGTTGCCGAATTTGTGGTTGAGTTCGATCTGAGCCGCCGGCGTGAATTCTTTGCTTCCGTCGGACCATGCGCCTTCCCAGTTCCCTTTTTTGCCTTTTCCCCAAGGGTTGCTGATTTCGTTAGAAACAGTTTAATTTCGAGCATAGCGGGACTCACCGAAGCTTGAGGAGCCTTTCTCCAGTTGAAAGTTCTCTCGCCTCCATAACAACATAAGCATGTCCTTCCGAGATCCCATCTCGATTGCCATATCCGCCGTCAAGAAGACCAGTCGAGCAACCAAACAAGAACTCCTTGTTGACCTTGAGAATCTCGTTGGTCCAAAACTCGTCAGTGTCAAGGATATCAGAAGTGAGAAGTTCGGTGGTCACACCACCAGTAAGATCTTCGACTCCCTCACTTTTACAGGTCAGATAGTTCGTTTCAAAATGAGTGGGAAGACTTGCCCATTCCATCCACCTTGTAGTGCGCCATAATCACCGTGGGCCTTTGCATATGCTTTTTCTAGCAAAGGCAACCAGGTCTCGCTTTGGTCCGCGCAGTGGGCGAAGTAAAGTGCTTGTGATCCCGTCTGATATGTTTTTCTATATTCGGCTTCGACGTCTTCTCGATCCGATAGTTCAAGGAGATGTCGTTGTAAAGATGGAGAGTCCCAATCGGGATTCTTTAGGTAAAGCTTATCGTCGATGATAGAGATAATCCATTCGCCATCTGTCACTGTATGTTAGACTCATCTGAACGTCGAATACTGTATCACTCCACTTAGGGCAATTATGCATTGGACAACCGGACGAAACCGATGAGAAAGAAAGTACGTATTGCTACACTAGGCGGTAGATCATTTTCCAGAGGATGTGATTACACAACAATCTGGCTGCTGGTGTTGTGATCAAAGAGGAGGAAACTCCGGAGTAGATGAAGACGCTGTATCACAGTGGTGCTACTTAGACTTTCACTGAGTGGGAATCTTTTAGGTATAGATATGTAAAAGTATGTTTTGAAAATCTGATTATTTCCACTTGAAGTTGATGGTCAGAGTTCTTGACATAAACTCGGTAGTTCTCCATCTTGGTCTACTCCAAGTGTTTAGCGCCATCTTTCATATCCTTGACCATTCTCCACATGGATAAGATCTGTACTAGCGAGTATGAAACTGCAAAGCCAGGGACATGAACAGGTTTGCGATAACCAGGTAAACGGGTACATGGTAGTCCTAAACCTTTTCTTCTAAGGGCTGGCATTGCCAACGCAAACACTTTTCACTGTCTCTCACTGCAGCCCCTTGCAACGGATTGAAATGAAATCAAGAAACAAGAAAACATGACTTACCACGATGAAAAACAAAACCATATATTCCGACTTCTGACAACCCGTAAGCATATCAACGACAGGGGAAGTGAAGAAAAAAACCACTAACTTGTATCATATTCGACACAAATCCGCTGAATCCCATTCTCCATGCTGGCAAGCGCAGTAAGACTCGCCATCAACCAGCAATCTCCTAGACTTCCCTGCCTAACGTCCGCAGGCGTCACCTTATCCTTGAACGTCGGCTTCTCGAATATCTCGTGTACCCTCTTGCACGCTTTAGGAACATTGGAAGCCGGGTTCGAAAAGGCTCGTCCGGAGACCTCGAATTTGGAACCACCTAGAGAATTCAGGCAAAACCCTCTTTCCCATTTGAGGTCCCAATCGATGTCGAATTCCGAGTCCCTGTATCGCATGTTTACGCGTTTACACTCCCTGATAAGCTTCTTCACCCGATTGCGACATTCTTCCACGGCTCTATTGAAGTCCTCGGATACGAGGACATTCTTTTGTTCGGGTTGGAGAAGGATGGCCTTCGGTTTTTCGGTCTTGAAGTGACTTGGGGGAAGAATAAATGTGGCTTTGCTAAAACTCGGAGCGGAAAAGCGCAACCAGATTTTATTGATTGATTCTTGAGGTGGGAGAATCTTTTTCTTCTTCTTTGGTTGTGTAGCCGGTCCATATGGAGCTGGAGGGGGGGGTTGCTTTACGCGTGCTTTATCATTTTCGGAGTCGCTTGAGGGGGAGGAAGACATGATGTCGATTCTCTAGATACTATTAGCAGTATCAGTCGTTAGAAATGGTATCGCAGAGCGAAGTCGGTAGAGAAATAGGACTCGACTTGAGATTTTTTTTCGGTGCAGCAGCGCGGTATCTCGCATGCGAGGTGTACTCTTGTGATCCATCTGTCTGTGATACTACAGCCTTGCGACTCACTGGGTAAGGATGCTTCGGAATGCAATGGATATTGCCTCGGTGATGATGCGCAGGCGGCGAGAATATGTACGTATATATGTACGGTGAGAGATTTCTCGCGGTCAGCCGCATAAGCAACAGGCAGAAAGCCAAGGGTGGAGGAAAGACAGGCAGAGGCAGTCAGAGGCAGTCAGAGGCAGTCAGAGTCAGTCAGCAAAATGAGGCTCTTTTCAGGTCTGGTCTTCCACATCAGCACACCACGCCTCTACTTACGTGGATGCAGTGGTATTGGCAGCGGTGGGATTCTCGCTGAATAGAAGCAATTCCCGACACGGCCCCAACTTCCACAGAGGCGGCCAGTTGCACAAGAGCAATGAGGGGGAATGAGGGGCAAAACCCCAGACGCATGAAAATCTACATCTGCGCTATTGAACGGTCAACCGTCGTTTTTGACACCTTTGGTGCCCGAAGAATTTCTATCAGATAATAGTAGTAATAGAGGCCGTGGATGTCTTCTTTCCCAACACAGAAGGTAATGGTGTAACCATGAGGGTGGTTGGAGATTTTCTTGGTGTTGTTGACTTTGCCACATATCTCGAGCCTAATTTCAACCTTTACAGTACCTCCAACTGACCGCTGAGCCTCTGGAGCAATAATGGCCATCCGTTACTGGTGGTTGGGTGTACAAGAATCTAGATCTCGGGCGCGACGCCGAATGTTTGAGAATTTCGATGTTCAGCCCCCACCACCCGGAACCGAGTTCATTTTCCCAATTATTCGGGTGGTATCGCCTCATTTGGGACTACCGGTACAGCTGGACACTGGTAACAAGTAGGTTTGAAGATATACTCTCGCAAATTTTTACGGAGGAGCAGGAAATCTTGAGAGTACAATAGTTCATCAAACCTGAATGTAGAACGAGAGGATGATGGTTGTCGGTAAGGTGAAGCTGGGAGAATATCTAGGGAGAAACCGAAAAAATATGACCCGGCAGGGGTAAGGGGTAATTTTGGAATGGGTCACGTGAATAAGGTCAACATCAATTCTCAACCTTGGAAGCGCTTCCACAATCAATGTAATCCGAAAACGAGCAATGGAAACACCACACCTGACAAGCCTTCGTGCTGATTTCCGGTTTCTCTCCGATCCCAAATTCCGTCGCAATACTGATAAATCCGTCCAGGTATTTTTCATCTCATCTATCTATCGTCATGCCCGCTAAGAGTCCACTTCGGATCTTTTTCGATCTACAGTACCTACCCGTACGCTCCGTACGGCCCTACCCGGCATCGGGTTCGTCGATTTTCACAACCGAGGCTTAAATAACCTTAATTTCTTACATTCTCGTCTTCGTGTCCTCCATCAAACGGGAACAATCCATCATTTGACAAAAGAGGAAATAGATGAGAACAGACCGTGCCCCAAGCGAACGCTACGCCTCAAGGGAGATCCCAATCACTTAGCGTCGACATTCGCAACGTAACTGTGCACGTCTCACATTTGAACCAATCGTATTACGAACTACATCGTCCCAGGCCTAATGAACGTGAGGGTTCAGTGGGGTTCAACTCTGTATTCCACGGAGAACCTCCATCCCATGTAAACCTTACTACTCTTTACGTTCATTATGCCTGGGACGAAGTACACAAACATTTCAAAACGCCTGGCTGTAGCCGAGGTTTCTTCCATGACAACCCCCAACGAGCTTTGTGCAGTATGTCGTTTACTGTAGGGGACTGGCTGCACAGAGGCTCGCAACGATTGACGCGATGATTGACTCAAACGCGGCTCCCCAGATCGATTCATCCCATCTCCAGCGTAATGCCTTGCAAGAGTCCGAATTCTAGACTGGCGTTGTTAGAAAATGTATATATACCCGAATGAATTCCTTCTTCCAGTTTCGACTCAGATAATGCCGCTTAGATCATTGCAATAGATGATTTCACCAACAGACCGTCACCATGCACTCATCACTTCAATTACCCCTCCTTCTTTTGGGGCTCCCCCTTGTCAGTGGTAGTCCCGTAGGCGGCAACATAGGTCCCGTCAGTATGCAGGACATAGGGAACCTACGAGTTGGAGAGGTTGTAGACCCCATTGAGCGCAGAGCAGCAGGAGACTTCAACGACCTAGGCGGGCCTTGCAAAGCGGTCACTATTCTCTTCGCCAAAGGCACAACCGAGACTGGATTGGCAGGAACTCTGGCAGGACCACCATTCTTCGACGCCGTGTCACAACAAATGGGAGCTGGAAACGTTGCCGTGCAAGGAATCGACTATGCAGCAGATGTTCAGGGTTTCGTGGCAGGTGGTGATAAAAAAGGAAGCGCCTTGATGGCAACTTCAACCAAGAAGGCGTTGAGTTCTTGTCCAGAGAGTAAGGTTATTATGTCGGGCTACAGTCAGGGTGGTCAGTTGGTTCACAATGCTGCGACTATGTTGAGTCCAGCTGAGCAGCAACAAGTCGCTGGAGGTATGTCCAAAACTTTCTCCCTCTATCTCTCTGCCTCTACTAATTCCCATTCAGTTGTCATCTTCGGAGACCCATTGAACGGAAAAGCTGTCGGTTCGATTCCAGCATCAAAGACCAAGATCATCTGCCACAATGGAGGTATGTCCCCTTTGAATTCCTATATATCATCTGTCGCTAAATTTTCCAGACAATATCTGTGAGGGTGGAAGTCAAATCAGACAAGCACATCTTACCGTAAGCAAACCTTTTCGCTTCCTAGCTCAATTTCAGTGTCACTGACCTCAACCCACAGTATCGTAACGACGCAGGAGCAGCTGCGCAATTCGTTGCCACAATGGCTAAGTCTGCCGCTGGAGCCGCTCCTAAACCCGCTGGCGCACCTGATGCCGCACCCGCACCCACTGCACCCCCAAAGCCAGCTGGATCCGCACCCCCTAAGCCCGCTGGAACCGGGGCCGCTAAGCCTCAGCCTTCAGGGTTATAAGTTGACCAAATCCAAATTGGAAATTGAGCACAAGCATGAGATCATATCCTCATTATCATACCAGATCTGTTCTATGTTGTAGAGCAACTTGAGGTTGCCTTAGCTACGACCTGTTTTCTTTTCTTTATCTAGCGCCTTAGCGAATATCCAAGTTTTTGCAATGATATTTCATGTTCTGATTCAGTGGTGCTTCTACTTGTACATCGTAAACAAGGAATGCTGCTTGTCTGACTGCAAAGCATCGACAGTTTTCTTCAAAGTAAAGCTTATTCAGCCCAGCCTCAGTTCTGACCCCGGGAAGGTTTCGATGAGGGCTCGCTGAACACATTCGCCACACGCGGTCAGATACCGATCATCACGATATATGAGAGGTGATATCACCGCCATTGAATCTGGGAAGGTGTTTGTAGTGTGTCTGATAGGGTGAATTTCGAGATCCCAGTATACAATTCCTACGGTGAAATACAAGATCTAGACTCGTTGGTGTAATATTTTCAATATCGTTGATGTCCCAAAAGGTACTTCCGACTGGAGGTTCACCTTATTGATCTTCCAAACATAGCACGCGGAAAGAAACCATCACTCACACCTGATCCTACTTTTGTCCTTTCCGCACAACAAGAGATCCACCCCTCAAAACAGATCTCATCCCCACCTCCTCTCTAGATCATATCTAAGCAACCTCGGCAAAAACCACAAAACCCCTTGGCTCCCTTGTCTACTCAAGCGTAAATCCCAAACGAAACCTAAATTTTCCCCATACCCTTGTTGAAGATCCTCGCACATACAGTAGTACTGTAGTGTGGGGCGGGGTGAATAGCTCGCTCCATCCTCCTGTCAATTTCTGGTGTATACGAAGAGCCTCTATATTTGTTACAGGATCAAATTGGTTTAGAACGTTATACGAGTATCGCAGGATTCTACACTTTATCAAAATTCGTTTGAATGGGCTGTGGCGACGCGAGCTGTCCAGTCGTTTTATCGCTTAAGTGTGTCGTCGATATGATGAGCGCTCATCCCACGTTTGTACTGTGCTCTGGGGAGCACCAGGTGGAAAAAATAAGCGGTGGTATATTTAGTTCCTACACCATTATAGTTGATCCATAAAGATCATACTTAGTTATAGCAATGTCAATGGGAAGGTGATATGATTTAGGTAAATCGCACGGACAAAAAGCTGTAGCTTATTTTGTCCACTTACTGAAGTAGGAAGGTAGTGAGGCAAAATAGGGATGCCTCACTCATATTTCCGAACTGCATAAACTCGGTAGATACTGGTAAACTGCTCACAGGTGCATATAATCGTGTTTATTCCTGTCAAAACAAAAGGCTTTTTTTCGGTGTCTTTATGTTTTACCTGCTGAAAAGTATCTCGGAGATCGCAAGAGGGCAGAGAGAAATGGATTGTTTGTTTGAACGATTAGATGTCAAAGCTAGAGGCTATTGATAGGAAATTCCCTATACTCGGAGGACCTGTTGTAGTGGTACAGTATTGTATGGTCATACTTTGGGGTTCTTTTAAGGAATCAAAAGAAGAATCTTCTTTAGTCGGCTGCTGTCTAGGACGTTAGCTCTCCAATTAATACGAACGTACAAAAGATAAATGAGAATACACTGTTTGTAAGTATTGGCCGCGTACAAGCAAATACCCCTGGATTATAAGCCAATCCTGCCTGAAACGTTTGGCTAGTATTGAGGACTTTGGCACGTTCATCCATGGTAATCATAAACTAGGTGATATTACACGTTTAGCGAAGGTCCAAAATCAAAGGTTGCGCAACAAGCTAGCCGAGACGTAGTTCAAGATTTCTTACAAATTGCATCAGAAAAGAGTAGAAGTAAATTTTGTTATATGTCACGGTATATTTTACGGGGGGTTTGAGATTTACGTGTTTATAAGCTATGCTTATAATCGGCGGCTGAATGTAAAAGTTATCCCCTGGTTTCGTACCCACCCTTCGAGAGTGTTTAGTCTCTACCGGACCTTAATAACACAAACAGCTAGTATAATTTGTAGTAGGTGCATGCAAAGGTCACGATCACTTTGGAAATATTAAAGTTGGTTCTAGATATGGGTTTTTTTATTATAAAAAGACTTCCTAGTCCAAATCTACCTCCACGACGTATTGTCTAGCTGGATATCCATCCCAATAAGTAGATTCGAGTCATCATGTCTCAGTCATCATGTCTTATACAGTTCTGATTTAAAGTTCTACTAGGTGGCCCTCCTCACCCCTTCATGGAACATCTTTTCTCGCTTGTTTTGTTGACTATGCTTCCTGGCCTTGGTTAACACCTTCAACAGGGACGTGAAAGTCCTTCGTGTTGATTAACGTCTGATGTGGCGGATGGTCTTTTGATTTTAGAAGAGGAAATCTGGTTTTGTAGGACTTGAAGATGTCGGAAAGCATATCAGGTGGCAAGTGGTTCTTGAGATTGTCTAACCAATCCTCCGCGACGAAATATACAATGAGCTGTTCCACGATATACCGTCTAAGGGCGGAGCCGGGTAAAGTATGCTCGTAAACATACTTGTAATGGTGTGACAGGGTGAAGAAAGCATTGTTCACTATCTTCTCCAGAGCATCTATCGCGGCATTTTGTAGAGTAGGCATCAATAGTCTCTCGCCTAGGATCCCGAGCTTGACAAGCTGAAGGTTTTCTTTGTACAAAAAATGGTTCTTGTAGTCCTCGTGGATGGGATTGGCCTTGTCCTTGCATTGTTTCAGATAGCAATCTCTTGTCGTATATCGAATCCCTCTTTCAGTTGCTCAAAGCCTGTAAGCCTCTGCGAGTACATCCATTTCATCAGGAGCTTGAAGATAGCAGGCTCGATATCGTCAAGCGTGTATTCCAAAGTTCCGCCCTCAGCGAAAATTCCGTTGAAGGCGGCAGCGAAGACAGGCGAGTTGTTGCATGCAACCTCTTTATGGACATGAAATTTCTCTTCCGCGCCCTTTGACTCCACATTAAAAGTCACAATAGTTATGGCGTCACTACAAGATGTGGTACTTAGCAGTTATCTCGCGTGGAGCGGTCGGATCAGTAACCAACGTATGTTGATGTTGATGGAGTAGAATGGCAGACTTACTTGAGCTCAGTATCCATGATATTATATTTTGTTCTTGGGGAGCCTGAGGCCATATTACATACATTTGCAGACAGAAAGTTGTTGTTGTTCAGTTCTCTCTCAACCAGTAAGTCATCAGAGTCTGAAAGAGACAAACTAGATGTCTGCGAAAAGGTTTCTTTAACCTGAACACAAATCAGAAAGCTTGTTGGCGATACCAAAACGATGGAATGTCAATACAAGAATCTGCGTTAGACAGGGTGGAAAGTTGGAGGATAAGGTAAGAAAAGCAAAATAGATAATAAATAGATAGCATTTCAGGTCCTAGCCTGAAGCTCTCTCACCAGGCGGGATTAACACCATGTGGTAGTGAAGCTAAATTTGTTCTGCTCTCAAAGCACAATCAGTACTTCACTATGTTTATGGAGTAAAGCTACACAGCTGACTTTGATGCAACAGTCATTAAAAGTAGATCTGTAACTCGACACTATAAAATTCACCGCTTCATAGGTTTTTACTCTCATAAAACATGAGTGAGCTCCGTTATTATGAGAAAACTGTAGCAACCAAGAAACTATTGTGTCAAGTTAGTTTTCACCCTTTTGTATTAAATAGTTCCAACATCTTACGCTTAAAACTCGCACCCATTAGAGAAATTGTTATTAGAAAGGTGTATTGAAGCCATCCAAGGCTGCGTTTCATTATCCTGGTTCATTCAATGATCCTCTATCGACAGTTGTGGCTGTAATTAGGCGCCTGCAACCGTTTCACTCCCTCTGGGAACTCGGTGGCAGAGATTCTCGTACACGTACGAAAATTTCGTACACAGGCCTAATTAGGTAGTTAAAAGTGGAGATTTAAGTACTATAGTACTATAATGTGGGCGTCTCCACTTTTCGGATTTTATACTTTATTATCCCCTGCTGAGCGAAAACAGAGGGCATTTTAGAAGAAAATGTTATACTTTTAGGAACCGACACAGCCTATAATTAGCTTTTAAGAGAGTTTTAGCATAACCCGAGCTTTCTGTCAGCTATCTGTCTATATTAGAGTGCCTTTCCCCCTCCCTTTACCTCTATAAACTACGTGTAAGTACTTGGTCATTTTCACCTGTCCTTCTCCCTCTCCCTCCCTACCTACAAGTACTTAGCCGTTTCTGCCTGTCCCTCCCCTCTGTCCCTCCTTGTAAGTACTTTTCTACTTTGCTGTCCTATAAGTCTCTACTTCTATTATACCCCTACTACCGCCCCCCCCCCCTTTTCATGTAAATAAGTAAATATATAAACGCGTAAACAAGTAAATAGAGAACTACGTCTCTAGTATAATATTTAAGGTTTTGCGCACACCGTTAGTATACGAAAATATACGCGCTGGGGATAGTATTGTACCCCGGGACGGTCCGCGGCGGGTGTCAGATATTTTCGTACATATCTGGCCTCGATTTCCCAGAGGGACTATTCGAGTTCACTATATTTTTGAATCATCAAATTAGCCTTTGAAGTAAAAGAGGAAGAGATATTCTTTCGACGAAGGAAGGGTCTCCATTAGGAAGAAAACGCCTGCACTCAAGCTTACAAGAATCCTTCTTATTATAGGTTGTTGTTACCGATAAGTTGGATCAACCAATATATGTTAGTCACCCTTGATACCCAAAACACAACTTGTAATCAATGTCAATGTGTATACATGAATGATTTATACGTAGGTTAAGCAGGCAAAAATAGAAAAACTCTAGGTGTATGACACATGTAAAGTTGAATGAGTTTTGACGTCCCCCTAATGTTGAAATCCCTCAAGTTGTTGTAAAGATGAAATATTATATTACGTGACTGATCTCAGTTAGCCTGTGGATGTGTCCTATAGATGTAGGGGATTCAGGATGTTTGGCATTAACTCTGTTAACTCGCGTGCCATATCCCTCTGTAAAACTCGCTTAGCTTAGACCCAAATTCCAAATCACAGCCATAAGGGAGGGCATATCACAACCATGAAGGTCTCACAGAGTAATCTTCATATTTAACAAAAAAGAATCTACTAATCATCATTCAATCTCAAGACTGGTTATTGGTCAAACAATCAGTACTCAATTTTGTATGTTAAAGATGTCTTGAACATGAACTGTTTGTTATGTTCATGAATCATTTCCTCTCTCGTAGGGTACCAAAAGGGAAGCTTGTTTACATACCCTCAAGTCACAGCCAAATGATTTTCCCCACTGTCCCCAAGATACGACATCGTGCTTACTCAATGTTCAACGTTGATGAGATACTTGCGCTTGAGCTATAACCCTTTCAAGAAGCTCTGCGGCAGCGATACAGAGTCACTGGGATCATCTGAACCATCATAACTCCTAGAATCACCAGAAGCTTTAAAATTTTTGGACCTGTAAGAATCCAGGGAATCCTCAATCTTTTCAAATGGAAAGCGCTTTCAGTGACAGGAAATCAACGTTAAAGCATGTATCATAGAGCAGAGAGATGTAACTTACCCTTTGCGAGTACCATCCAACTCGTTACAAAAGGGTACTCACTTATCTTCCTAAGGCCCCTAGTTATGTCAAACTTCACAAACTCCAATGAGAACTCCTTGGAGAAGTGATGGGGGTTCATTTCGTCTTTTTCTAGGTTGAAACTGGGGCAAATAAACGAACATGCAACCGTCTAAATATTGACCCAGGCTTTGTATTCTGGTACAAATATTTTAACCTGTTACGATCGTAGCGTTCAACACCAGCAGTACGTGTGATACGCTATATAAGATCGGATATGTGGTTCTAGAATTTAGGCATTTCAAATCGTTCGCCAAGAAATCAAGTACTAACAAGGTCCATACCCTCTTCCTCAATATTATCCTTGTCGTCTTCATGTTTATAATAATCATACGTTGTGAAGTTGAGATTCAACTGTGTCGCTCTAACATGACCGAAGTAGAACCAGTCTATATATGGAGCAGGAACGAGGTAGCTCTCACATCTGCTCCAACCTTACAAAAGTCGTACTCAGTTTTAAGTCACGGTCCATACCTTCCTTGACGTGCGAAGAATGTAGATCTAGACACTCTTTGGGTATCACAAAAGAATCTCTATGAATAAGGAATGTAAAAGTATCTCCTGGGCGCCTAAATTCAGCTAGAAACCTCATGCTCTTAGTTTAAGAACGATTAAAACTCACTTTAATATTAGGTGGTTAGGCTCCTTGATAGACTGTACCAGTGGATCAGGTTCTTCGAATAGAGACTGTTGAAGTTCACTGTAGAGAGTCAATGACCTCCTCTAGACTTGAAAGAAGGCATCTCGTTCCCGGCCTGAAGAAGGTTTGTATTTTCGGGAATTACCAAGAAGGTTCTTCAAATTCACATGTAGACAAAACTCTAACATTTCCACTCAAGGGGCGGCGATGATCACATGATCGGCTAGCTAGAATCAAAACTACACTGGCCAATAATCTTTTGCACTTGCCAGCCATCATATTCTGAATTGCTCCCGAGCCCCACGCAATTCCCTGTGTTTACTGGAGGTTTCATGGTGCTTCTGGTCGAGTCTCCTGAGAGAACAGGTGTGGTTGGGGCTCTAGCACGAAAAGAGAGGGGCAGATCAATACACAGGAGTTTTGAGCTGATTTAATTGGCTTTATTTTCATAGATAGCCCACACCATGACAAGTTTCTGCGTGCCCTCCACATGGCTTTCGGTTTCCACGGCCATTTTTCAAGGTCAGAGTATCAAAATTGAGAACCATTCGTATACTATCAAAATAGCTCTTTGCCACCCAGTGAGAAGCCTTCCAGTCTCGCGTCATACCCCAGAACGTGTCATAACAAACATACCACCTCAGGATTAACATGAACAGGTTTACTATCACCCCCGTGCAGAAGAAACCTTGGTCGTTGAACTGTACTTTTCCGCAGCTTGTACTGTACAACGGAATTAACGCTCGCAAAAGCTCCTCCACCAAGCCCGTTATAAGTCAAGGCTGGCACAGATTTTGAAAGCAGACTGAATAGATCGCTCTGAATTTGCTCCCTCTGCAATGTTTCTTCTTTTTAGGTATGATTTGATGGTCTCCATACAAAGAGTAGTTTCATAGCTAGCTACGCGAGTGCCAAAGTAAGACTAAAAAAGTCCAGTAGAAGAGCTATATCTTACATTTATCTTCTATCCAATTCAAAGATTAGTTCACTAACAATAATTACATTTTTTAACTAGACTAACTACTTATGAATTATTCCGTTAGTAAATAGAGTATGCTAAATCACACTAAATTTTCTCTCATTCGTTTAGCGCCGAGATTTAGTAGATAGATAGTATTACTTAAGTAGCTTACGTATAAGGACCGCGGTGGGCAGTATCCAAGTGGTGCTTTACTTAGTACTATAAGCCACCCTCACGATTAATTAATATTCACTTCTCACAAATACTATTCTAAACTCTCAGATTAGCTAGAAAACCCCCCTACCCTCTGGAATTCCTAATTCCATGGAATTCCAGAGCCTATTCGATGGAAATAAGTGTACTACTTAGCAGGAGGTCTGGAAATATTCTATATGGAATAGAATCATGGAAGCATGGAATCATAGAAACTATAGAATCGAGTACCATTTACCGAACGCTGTATAGCAACGACTCCTAATAATCAAACGGAAACATACTCTTCCAAAGAGACTCTCGGAAGTACGATACAGCCCCTAAACACTACTATAAAACACAAAACTAGAATGCAAGAACACTCTAGTTCACTAGTGAAATATAATAGTATCCCCAATTCCTAATTCCTATCTTCTGTACCCATATCACCATCCCTATCTAATCCACTCAGATCCCTCAGCTACTACTGGACACAAACAAATTAGCAATCCTCCCATCCATGAAACTCACTCAAATCCACTCTTTACACTCCCACCCACCCACCTGGGTCCCGAATAAAAAGAAAAAGAAAAGCAGAAAACCCCCATATACAATTGACCCTTCCCCTCGATCGGTCTAACTCTAATTCTAGTTCTAATTCCAATTCCAAAAGAACCATGAAAACACACGCTATAACGGCTCGCCGAGACCGGTCTCGATATAATACCCTCAGTAGAAAGACGCACTGACTACGAGTCGGGTATTATCCATGGCACACGAGTACAGGGGTAAGATGGGGAGGACGGGACGGATTAACCCCGCGTCACGTCATCCCGTACAGTTATGGGGGATAAGGCTGTGCTGTGAAAGTGCACTGAAAGAAGAAAAAACCCCCCCAGCCTTGTTTGTATTTGCATTTTGTATCACCGTATACTGATACCTAGTATTTCATTCATTGCTTCAAATCTCTCTCCTAGGCCCAATTCAATTCAATCCATCCTAATACCCTCTCCACCTCAAAATCCCACATACAACCAAACCAAATACCATCTACCACCAACTCACCCCCCCTTCTCACACCTAATGTCCACCAACCCACCAACCCCAAAACCAAAACCAAAAACCACCCCACGCCTCACCCTCCTAGACGGCGGCCTAGGAACGACCCTCACCTCCCCACCATACAACATCCCCTTTACCTCCGCGCACCCCCTCTGGTCCTCACACCTACTCCTCACACCTTCCTCGCGGGAAACACTCAGGGACGCACAGAAGACATTTGTGGATGCGGGGGTGGATGTGTTGTTGAGTGCTACGTACCAGGCTTCGTTTGTGGGGTTTAGTTTGACGGAGGTAATAGAGGGGGATGGGGATGGGGATGAGAATAAGGATGGCGATGAGGGGAGAGGGAAAGGGAAAGAGGGTAAGGGGGGAGGGAGAGGGATTGGAAGGGAGGAGGCGGGGAGGTTAATGAGGGGTGGGGTGAGGATTGCGAGGGAGTGTTTTGTTGGTCGGGATAAGGAGAGAGATGGGGAAAAGGGAAGTGGGAACGTAGCGCTTTCACTCGGTGCGTATGGTGCGACGACAATTCCGGGGACGGAATACTCTGGTTTATATGATGATTTACATACCACCGTCTCCCAACTCGCGGGATGGCATTTCGAGAGACTTTCTGTTTATTTCCCTTCGACGACGGATTCCGAAAAGGATGTAGAAGAAGAGGAAGATGAGCAGGTGGGGAAGGAGAAGGAAGAGTGTTGGGAGAATGTAAATTGGATAGCCTTCGAGACGCTACCGACCAGGAACGAGATCCTGGCTGTGAGGAGAGTCATGGATTCATTACCTGTGATACCACAGAAACCTTTCTGGATATCTTGTGTTTTCCCCGGAGAGGAGAATATTCTGCCTGATGACTCGAGTTGTTTTCAGGTTGTGGAGGCGATGCTTGGGACCTCTTCGAAAGCGGGGGAGAAAGAGGAGAGGGGAAGGGTTCCTGATGGGATAGGTATTAACTGTACGAAAGTTTCGAAATTGGAGAGCCTGGTTTTGGAATTCGAGGATGCTACGAGAGAGGTGTTGGGGAGGGAAGGAAGGGAGGAGTGGCCGATCTTGGTGGTTTATCCGGATGGGACGAAGGGGGAGGCGTATAATACTACGACGAAGATGTGGGAGATGGGGGAGAGTGTGGGGGAGTGTTTGGTTGGTTTATTTCTTCTTCTTTTTGGTTATTCGAGTTGCTTTGGGACTTTGGATTTGATTCTGGTGTTGGTATTGTAGGGGGAAAGAACTTCTGCTAACAGATATTTTTTCACAGGGTCCTTGGGATGAAATCGTTTTTGGGATCGTGATGAGAGCAAGGGAGAGGGGCCTTTGGCGAGAGATATTTGTGGGGGGCTGTTGTAAGAGTACGGCGGAAGATATTGGAAAACTAAGGAGAAGGATTGATGAGTTGTGAAATTACCGGATTGGGTGGTTGTTACTAGTGATGGATTATCACAATTTAATTATCCCAATCGGGAAATAGAGCAGGTGGGATGGAAGGATATTATTGGTCACATGATCTAAATACCATGAGGTCTGATCACGGTACACCGGCACTTGAAGTTATTGGACGGTTTTTGGAGATACATCTAATTCCCTTGTCCCATCGAAGCCCTTTGATTCGCAAAGGATGTTTTGTTTGCAAGGTACACGTCTCGTATATATTACCTCGTAACAGAAGATGTCAATCTTTTCTGAATTCCAAGGGATCTTCAAGGAGGTTTCAAGTTTCAAAGCCTCGCGGGGTATTGAAGATAAGCGCGGGCCGTTGCCAAGAAAACGTGCTATCTCTAGTTTGGAAGGATAACGGAAGAAGCGAGATATAGAGTTCCAAGGAGGACAAGATGGCACGCGACTCCCGGCGCGGGGTTTCGTCTGTTCAAAGAAAAGAACTTTCGGGGCCTTTGGCTTGACATGCCAAACCATGAATGAGGATATGCATGATTCTCGGTACGACACCGTACGTTGCGAGCGACTCGGCGAAGCCACTTATTGGATGTTTTCTCACCTCTCCATTCTCCAACGATGAGAGCGGGGCGAGGGAAGTAAGTTGGAGGCTGCATGGAATCTATTCCTGCAACCCACCTTTAAAGACTTTCCCAACGACTTGACCAGAGGTCCAATGGTACTGTTCTCCGCCCGCCGGTACTGGTGGCCGAAGGTTGCCGCTGCATTTGCACTTTTGATTCTGTTGTGGTGGAACCTTACACTGCCTGAACTGCTCTTCACCTGCACCCCCCTTTCCACCCAATCACTTCCAATTCCCATCTGCGGAGCAAATGGTCCAGTTTCTGTGTGCTCACGTTGACGGATAAGCGCATTTGCGGAGATATGCGGATGTGCGATGGAAGTTAGCTGGTACTGGTAGCTCTCCTGATTCGAGACGAACTCATCGGGATCTTCCTCCACTGGTGACGTGAGTTGAAACACTGATAGAGCAACGTTTGCAACGGTAAACGAATGATGTGGATGACAAGTACATGCTGCTTCTCAACAATCATGTCCTCGTCTGCGGTGTGACTTCATCTCTATCTGACCTGATGAATGGTGTGGTGGTTGCTCTTTGGCCTGCTTGGCCTCGTACCCTAGGCTCGCATCTCTGGGTACGACGGCAGCAGTGACCCCTCCTCCTCTTACCATTGACTACCAGAGGTTACTCGAGTAGGTTAGCTTGATTACCCCACACTCTCACTCTCACTCACCCTTCACTGGCAAGGGAGCCACAGCTGGGGTTGAACGCCAAGTACTTCGACCATGAGTAAAGCAGCCCTGAAACTCGACCCTTTCGGACACCTTCGACTTTTGCACCATCTATAGAATTCGATATGGGGATGTCTCTGTGTTTTTGGGGAGATTAAATGTGCCATATTGTACCCCCTTTCTAGAAGTTTGGGAATAGACATAACACCGAGCACTCCGTACACATAGCCCATGTTGTTGCCAGCGGAGAAATGGCCAGGTATCACTTTGCTCCCGATGGGGGAGACCTGAATGCTGCTCTTTGTCTCCCTGCCCCTGTAAACGCACGGGCGTGACGCACCCTCAGAACCTTCACCAATGGGGTTGACTCACTATGTGAAAGCCGACCCACAAAAGAAAGTCCAGCTAGCTTTTGATTGGCTGCTGCCGGACCACCCCTGCTCGTTCAACCCCTAAACCTTAATCCACAGGCATGGATATGGTGAGGTGCCGGTATGTGCTCCGTGCGCTAAGCTTCATACTGATTGTCCGATTCTCCCCCTCTTCTCTTCTGCGACTGTCTACATATTGACAATCCACCCTCCATCAATCTAACCTGCTGCTGCTACCCATTCCTTACTACTTTACACGAACTTGACACCAACTCTCTCACCCTCCAAAATTCAAGATCATCGCTAAAGAAAGACGACCTCGTCAACTCCAAGTCCAGTCCGTACACGTACATAACTCGGTCAACACGGGCATCATCCCTCAACAAAGGCTTACGATTACGACCACGACCACGACTTGAATCGCAACTCCATCACTCTCGACGTCACTCAAAGTCCATCACCGGGGTGGAGAGATCAGAGCAGAGCAGGACATACAAGAGTAGAAGAAAGCAGCTGAGGTCAATTGCAAGGCTGCCTACAGTTTAGTTCGCTATCACGCCCATACCATACCATATCATACCCCTCTCAACCCGAAGTCCATACTACGAATCCCCTCAAATCCCCAAACATGTCCTCCGACGACAGCTCTCCCAATGACGGCCCAGGTCGAAACCGTCGTGGCTCCTTCACCCAGCAAACATTCACTTCCATCTTCGGAGCCAGATCCAATAGTACTGCCGGCGCACCCACCGCTCCATTCCCGAGTGCCATCAACACCAGTGCCCAAGACCAGCGCCGCCGCATGTCAATCTCCACTCTAGGTCTCTCTGGCACTTCTCCTAGTCAAACCTCTCCATTCCCCTTCAATGCTAGACGTGGTAGTGTCTCAACCGCTGGCTCCGAGTCTATTGATGAGAATGCCATTGACGATGAGGATGGTCCTCCTCGAAGCACTCCCACCACACCCTTCGCCCGTCGCATGTCATTTGGAGCACAAGCGTTGCGACGGGCCCAGCCAAATGGCGTAAGCCCAGGCACAAATGGTAGAACTCCCTCTTATACCACCAGCAAACCCACATCTCTCCCCACAATCCCATCCGGACCTCGCAGCGTTCGCGCGGGGTCGGTGACAGGAAACGGAGGTGGTGGAGGTAGCATTACTCCCCCCTCAACACAGGCAAGCACGCAATCAAAGCCCCGAACAACATCTGACTATGGTTCTTCTGCTCGTCCAGGTGCCGATGGAAGCGGCTTCAACTGGTCCGAGCAGCTTAGGTCTCGAGCCGAGAGTTCCGTTTCGCAGTCCCAACGACCCAACTTCAACAACCTTTCCAAGCCTATGGCTGCTCATGACCGTACCAAGAGTGTTAGTGACATGCCAGCTCCACCAACCTCGGTTCCTGCGCCTGCGCGTACTCCTCCCAAGCCAGCGAGAAAACAACCAGACGCGTTTCAAGAGCGAATTCTCAAGGGAGATTTCTACATGGATTGATTGGACAGTAATTATCTCCTTTGTTATTTCCCCTTGTTTCCTTGATCATGAGCATCTGTTTTGCTCTATCAGCTTGCCTTGAAGCAAATAGATATCATATGATCACTCATGAATGGCGTTATTGGAGTCCGAGCTTCGTATTGTCGAAGCATATTTGACAAAGGACTTCTGGGGTTTTCTGGGCGGGAATAAGAACGAAAATTGGAGGAAAGCAATTCTTTCTACGATTTGTACGCTGGACGTGTCTTTATTATTTGCCTTTCCATTCTTTCTTCTGTGTTTGAAAATCCGGAATTTTTATATGGGGCACAACAATCTCGAAAAGAAAAGTCACAAAAGGTGATTGATTATTGGAAAAGGGTTGGGGTTGTGGTTGTCGCAAAAACACAAGCTGGCTGGCGTTTTCTACGCTGCCCCCTTTTATTACTTGGGTGGTGAACAACTTGCAATTCGCTGGGGAAATTTTACGATGTCACGAGTTTCCTATTCTTTTATTTCTTCACTCTCTCTCGACTATGACTCAATGTCTATTGGTTTTCTATGGCCTGGGCTAGGGCGGAGTAGATTGCTTTGATGGAATGGGGTGGGATGGGGTAGGGGGACTTGCTTGTTGGGATTAGTGGTTGAATGAATAACTGATGGGATTCCTAGGCTGGGGGGTTTTCACATGGGGAAATGAGACGAATGGAATTGAATGGATCAAGCTTTATTCATTTCCTTTTTCTTCCCTTCTGGCTTCTAGCTTCTTTAGCATGGATGGCTTGTGGGTTAGCTAGCTAGGTAGGGTTACAATAGCTCAATGAAGAGATTAATGAGTTGAGTCTTGGTGTGTATTGTGGGGATGTCTTTTGGGGAGGGTTGTGTTTCTTCTTCCACTTCTACTACTATTACTCTTGTTCTTATTCTTGGGGTTATACTCCGCCTATCTTACTGTTAGATATATTCTACCTTTCTAGTAGTTATACTATAACGTAAAACCACTTTCTTGAGTAGCTTGATTATTTAATCCTTCTACTTCTTTACGAGTAACTGAGGATACATAATACAGGCGACGAGAGGAAAGTAGAGTATTATACTTTATATTCGTATATATAGGATATAAAACCTAACTTATTATATTCGAGGGGGTTCGGGGGGCTAGATAATGTTTATTTAGTACTATTTAAGTGAAGAAGGGGATTTAAGGGAGGTGTTTTGGTATTAGGGGGCGGGAAGGGAAGGGGGGGTTAGAGGTAGAGGTATAGGGGTAGTAGAGGTATAATTCTTATTTTATAGGGGAAAAGGTAGGGAGAAAGAGAGAGGGTTTATTAGTTTATTAGTAGGTTAGGGTAGAGGTTTTTAAGAGAGAGATTAAGGGGGGTGGGTAATATATATTAGATAGTAAGTATTAATATAATCTAGTAGTATACTAGAGCCTCAATAGACATTCGTTCCTCGTTCCTCGGATCTCCATAGAGGACTTATACTAAGATTAGTAATAATCGCGTAGATTAAATATCCGTGGAAATCGTCTAGAATACTTAACTATTGAAATTATATATATAAATAATAGTTAAATCTTAGACTTATTAGTATAAATACTAGTTAGTTTATTTTCTTTTATCTAGTAAAGATAATTAGACTTAGGTACGATAAAAACGTTTTTAAATATTAGGGGGGTCTACGATAATTATTATATCGTAAATATATAAACGATATTAAGGAAATTATATACGTAGTAATTAGAGTCTAGGCGTACTAAGTCCGGATTATAACTAGTATCGTATAAGCTAGCGTTAGCTATATATCGCCCGAGTATAAGCCTCGACTTCTTTCCTCCTTAGTCTAATATATACTCTTTAAAGGTTTTAAGCCCGGGTTCGCTCTAGTAAACTAAACTATTATATAGACTTACGAACTATAAAGGGTTTACTACGTTCGTATTCCTAGTATAAGAGTTTTTAGGGATCCGAGGAACGAGGGAAAAATCTATATCGAGATAAGAGTATTATTGTGAGGGTTGGAACCCATGATGGAGGCTCGGGCCATGCTCTCGCTAAGCACTGACCAAAGTCCCTGCTCAGCACTGGCCATAACCCCACTGCCAAGCAAGTCTCTTCTATTCTATACTTTTCTGTTCTATTCTCTTGACATCATGTATTTGTTAAGCAGTTTCTTGGAATATTCTAGAAGCTCTTCCTCTCTCTATATATAGAGAAAGAGCTTGTATGTATGTAGTCTTCACGCACTTCTTAATTGAATATTCGAAACCACACCTTTGAGCTATTCGAGGTCTGGCCTCTCACAATTCTACTAGATTACTAAGTTCGTATAAAGAACTTAAATTAAAGTCGAGTAAGAACTTTAGGGAACTATCGAGTAAGAATAGCCTACCTATACTAAATTAAGTAAGAATAAGAATACTTATTATTAAAGCTAAGAAAGCTTACTATTAATACTAATTCGTAAGTATCGCGAAAGCTAAAGTTATTAATACTATATTATATTTACTAAGCTATAGTAAGACTACGTATATAAATTAATTCTATAAAATTGAAACCTATGTTGTAAATATACATATAGTCGCTATTATAATATAAATAACTAACTTAGTAGTATTAGTTTAAAAGACTTTAAAGAAGAGGGTATAATGTCACAAATCACGTGTTAGCACGTGAGGAGTGAAGACCAGACGGTGTCCTGACAGGTCAAGCACTATCGTATGCTCTTATAGCAAATAGGGATCCTTAGACTAGCTAAGCGATCCAGGGATTTCCTTTGGTTAGTGTCACGTGATAGCATCTCGCTAGACGGGGCGACGGGTCTACCAGTCTAGCAGCGACAGCGCGACCAGGCTAGCAAGCTAACAGCAGTTAGAACAGAGAACGGAGGTTCTATATAATACTGGCACGTCTGCCATTAGATACCGGTTTCGTCACATATAAATAAGACTCAAACTTTCCTAGTAATATCTGTAACGAATACTCAAACTGGCTAACTAAACTTGGCTGGGTGTTCGCTGGTTGGTATGCTATGATAAGAAGAAGACTATCGGGTTGTTCACTTGGAAGTGAACTCGTTACTTGTATCAAAGATGTCAAACTAATATGATAAGATTGATAACTAAGTTGAGCACGAAGCTCCTATCTAATGGCAGACGTGCCAGTCTTATATAGAACCTTCGTGTTCCTGAAGTCGACAATGTCGACTGTCGACATAGTCGATAATCGACTTCTCGACCAGGCGAGAAGTCGACCTGCATATATCACGTGACTTGTATACAAAGAAATTCCTGGATCGCTTAACTAACCTAAGCGATCCCTTTTTGCTATAAGAGCCATGATGTGTTTGTCCTGTCAGAACCCCGTCTGGACTAACTCCTCACGTGCTAGCACGTGATTTGTGACAAAAGTCTAGACTAACTATACTATTAGTTAGTCTATAAGCAACTATATAACCTACTTCCGCTATAGCTACAAGTCGGTTCCTATAGCTACTATCCTTAAAGGAGAAGAGATAGGTAAGCGAGTTTCTACCCCTTTAATCTAAGTTATATACTAATTACTATTAGAACCTGATTTAGAATAAAGTTAAGGACCTTTAGAGTAGTCCTTTAGAGGTCGGAAGAGGTCTTTAGAGTCCTCCTTCGATAAAGAGACCTTTAAAAAGCTTATAGAGTATCTTTGAGAGTAAGTAAGTCCTCCTTTTATATATAAATAAGTACTAATAGCTCTAATAGAGGTTACCCTCCTATTTATAGGATATTACTCATAAACTAGCTCTTTTCTCTCTATAATAGTAGAAAAGAAGCTATTATAAGCTAACTTAAAGAGTACTCTTTAGCCTAAGGATCCTTTAGTCTTACTCTAGACGCTTAGACTACTCTAAACTAAGACGCTTATCTCGGAGTAACTATATAAGTACTTTTAATACTTTTAAATTAGTTATATATTAACCTTATTATTTAGCTACTTCCTTAATCCTGACTTTAAGCTTAAGAGCTATCTATTAGCTCTAAAGCTACTAGTTAAGAGATACTCGGGGCTTTATATATCCCGCGTTCTTCTTAAAACTCTACGTCTCTTTAATATAGAGTACGATATTGTCACAAATCACGTGCTAGCACGTGAGGAGTTAGTCCAGACGGGGTTCTGACAGGACAAACACATCATGGCTCTTATAGCAAAAAGGGATCGCTTAGGTTAGTTAAGCGATCCAGGAATTTCTTTGTATACAAGTCACGTGATATATGCAGGTCGACTTCTCGCCTGGTCGAGAAGTCGATTATCGACTATGTCGACAGTCGACATTGTCGACTTCAGGAACACGAAGGTTCTATATAAGACTGGCACGTCTGCCATTAGATAGGAGCTTCGTGCTCAACTTAGTTATCAATCTTATCATATTAGTTTGACATCTTTGATACAAGTAACGAGTTCACTTCCAAGTGAACAACCCGATAGTCTTCTTCTTATCATAGCATACCAACCAGCGAACACCCAGCCAAGTTTAGTTAGCCAGTTTGAGTATTCGTTACAACTTTTCTATTAAAAGGTTAGTTAAATTAATATTAAATCAAATTAATATAAAAAGAGATATAACTATTACTTACTAATAACCTCTTTAAAGGTATTTAACTATTATAGTCCTTTACGTATTCAGATCCTCTTAAGGTAGGTTAAGCTTCTTCTTAACAAAGCCTCTTTTAAAAAGAAGTAGTTAATTACTTAGATTAAGCGTAAAGTTAAGTAAGTTTTATGTACGAAATAGATGAGATATAGTAAGTTAAGAGCTTAAAGTAAAGCTTTTAAAAGATAGTGTGACGGTTCTCACCGCCACCATGCCTCAAACCAGCCCCTGGCTGGCACCCGTCGGCCGCCGTGCTTCCCGAGCCCGGCTCGGTTAGCTATAACCCTTGGTACCCCTCCTGTATATAAGAGCTTCCAGCTCCTGGACTTCTGTCCTTTCTTCTCTTCTCTCTTTAGCTTAGAATCTTCGAATAGACAGTTCTACGATTCCATAACCTACACCTTGGACGCTCTCTGAGCAACATCTCGTACGTGTCGTCACAGATAGAGTAAGTAAGAGTAATAGATAAAAGAATCCTTAGTTATATAATAAGACTATTTACTAATAAATAAGACTTGTTTACTTTTAGTATTCCTATATACAAATAATATTCCTATATATTAGGAACGTTCTTAAATTGTAAGGATATTCCTTTTAATTAAGGAACGTTCCTATAGTAAAACACTTTATTATTCTAGTCTAGGAACGTTCCTATAGACAAGAAATGTAAATAAATTATATTATAGTACATTCTTTAGTATAGAGCTACGCCGAGACTCATTCCTACTCTATAGGAACGTTCCTAGTAAAGACAAGTACAAGGGGCTCTCGCTTAGCTTCTACGTAGTACGCCGAGCACCCTCCGAGCCCTCGGTCCGTCGGTCCGAGGCTTCGGCCCGAATTAATCGAATCAATTAGATTATATGATTAATCAAGCGATTAACCCTGATTAGGAGGTCGAGTTGATTAGAATAACTAAGATTAAGACCCTATTAGTTAATCTATTCTATTCAATTTTTACGCTGATTATTCCGTAAATGCTCTCTGTTGGTAAGCAGAAAGACCCATTAGGTTTAGTGAGTAGCATTATACCGAACTTGATTAGGACGTTCTGCCTACCAGTAGAGAGCATTTACGGAGTAGGAGGTACAATGACTGTCAGTGTGGGCAATAGTTATCTCAGTTCTGCTGGTTAGTTTAGTTAGTACAGTTTTAAACGCAAAATCCAAACCGCTAGTTAGTACAGTTTTGGCCATCAAAACTACGCAGTTTTAGTAGTTTTAAAAGACTATTTTGTAAAGCTCTTAATAGAGTGCTTTATATGGTTGAGGTTATACTAGTCAGAGCTTCTAAAGGAAGGACCGGGGAAAGGGGCGCTACTAAGCTTAAAACGTAACTTTTTCGGCAATTTAGAGTATTCTAATTAGCTTAAGCTCACCGCCTATAAACTTATTACATATTCACATACTATAGGTAGTATATAGGTGAGACAGGCTACTAATAGAGCGATAATCCACCTACCCGCCCTATATAAATCAACCTATATGTAACTAATACTCAAACTGGCTAACTAAACTTGGCTGGGTGTTCGCTGGTTGGTATGCTATGATAAGAAGAAGACTATCGGGTTGTTCACTTGGAAGTGAACTCGTTACTTGTATCAAAGATGTCAAACTAATATGATAAGATTGATAACTAAGTTGAGCACGAAGCTCCTATCTAATGGCAGACGTGCCAGTCTTATATAGAACCTTCATCCTCATGATCGCTGCTGGTCGCTCGCGACCAAACGACCATTACTGGTCACGTGATATAATTGCTATGAAATCCCTGGATCGCTTAGCTAACCTAAGCATCCCTATCTGCTATAAGTATTCTGGTAGTGCTTGACCTGTCAGGACGCCGCCTGGTCTTCGCTAACCACGTGCTAACACGTGATTCGTGACACTATACCTACCTGCCTATAGGAAGTCTGTCCGCACGTCTAAATTAACTAGGTAAGAAGGCTCGGGAGAAGAGGACGAATTTGTATAAGAGGTGATTACTAAATTTAGATTAAAATTATAGTGCAGTTTTTTAAAACTACGATAGTTTGCGTGGTTAGTTTTGTCTTTTTTTGGTATAGTTTTGAAAGATTGAACGGAACTATAGATAATTTTACGGTATGTAAAACTGAGCACAAAACTGAGTAAACTACACTATTGCCAACACTGATGACTGAAAACTCGTTTCCTTCTGAACTGAGTTTATCACGAGAATATCTTGACTCCTCTTATTTCACTTGCAACTTTGTTATCCACTCCCAATTGCTCATCACACAAGCCCCCACGCCCTCAAACTGGCCCTGGGTTATGCCCGCACACGTACCTCCCCACCGACCAGGAACCCCTAATAGTTGAGCTTTCGCAGCAAAGCAGAAATCTTACACTTGTACATCATTCCTAACTGAGCTACCTTTAGATGCACGAGATAAACCAACTTTTCAGGGCGTAAAGGTCTAGAGAGGCAGAGTTTGTTGGGGTTTACACACAATGCAGAAGCTTCTTTTTAGCAATTTCCGTTTCGTATTATTTTGTGTTTTAAGGTAAATTTTGTTCTTTTAAGTTAGGTTGGAGGAAGGGAATTCACCTCAAGTTTATGCGATGGATTGTAGGTTGCAGGGGGTAAATGATTTGACTGAGTTTGGATTTGTCCTCGCTTAACTGATCACGAATCGGCTCAAGACACTTTTGATTGGGCGGCTCCAAGCTAGGTCGCTGCATGCTGCTTCCTGAGTCTTCCCCTTCCCCTCTTATAGTATCCGTGAAAGGAGAGGGATCTATGGATACTTGAGATACATGGCCATAGATGAACTTCGAATTTCTTCTTATACTGTTCTAGTCTCAAAATGATTCTCTTTCCTTTTAGCAAAATGCAATCAATACATCCGACAGCTCTGAATATCACAACGATATCTAAACCAGCAATCATACCAAAGCTCATTGTAATATCAACGTACGAAAGGTTTTGCTGCATATATATGAGGAAATCTTCTTCCACCATTGGGCAAAAAGAATCCCGTGTCTTTATGAGGCAGTTGTATTTTGCGGATCTTCTCATCTCATAATGCATTTTAAGAAGAAAATTTTCATTTATCTTGTATTGCCAACTTTCTGCAATGCAAGTCTCCCGAATTACGTTCAAGGTAGGCCAGTCCTCCGTCAAGGAAATGTAGAATCCAAACTCAGATTTGCAACTACTCCCCAAAATGGGACAATCAAAGCTATGTAACCGATGCTGCTGCTAATTCCGTCTTTTGTAGAAGCCCTTCCAAACATGTAATATGTGGTCTCATTGTGTAGACTCTAAGACGTGGCTTGCAAAACCCAGAGAACACTATTTTTTATGCTTGTCTTATGCAACGAGTCAATGTAGATGTCCAAATGCCACCCGACGAATTGATCTTGAAACCCTGAAATTCGAAAAAGCCCAAAAGAAGAAATGAAATCACACTTTCCTCTCCGTGTTCTGGCCTTTGCCAGAAGTGTGCGTGTTGAAGTTCAATTGAAAGCAAAATGAGCTCGAACCCGAGACCTCACTCATTGGAAGAATAAGAGAGAAGTTCCAAGGAAACAAAAGGGTGGTGAAGCAGTTCCCAGGGGACCAAGGGACCGGTATGCTTCTAGAAGGGAATCGCATAACCATAATTGTAACCAAGCTTCGTAGGTTTGCCATCCCAACCAGTAAGGGCGCCACCAGTGAAGCTAGGACTCGAGAAGAACCAAGCGTACCGTTCGATATAATCCGTGTGATCCATCCAAGGCAAAGCTTGTTGAAGGAAACGGACTCGTTCATCTTCTGAACCACGACCGTTAAACAGAATTTTTGAATTAGTAGAATACTCTCAAGATATGGGGGGAAGAATTGAGGAGAAGAAAGAGGATAATGACTATTCGAGAAAGTTTGCATCATACCTCAGTAAGCCAAATATTTTTGTTTCCAATGATGCTCTTCAAACTCTGCAAGAAGCTCTGAAGATATCCAAAGTTATTCGCGGTATCATACCAATTTACAGCGATAGTGTCGACCTGGCAATCATGACACGCAGCCAGGAAATCCCTGAGCCATTTAAATGATCCATCGGCATTGGTGATAGCGGGAGAGACGAGCCAGGCTTGTTTTCCGAGGGGCTGGATATGCTGGCGCCACGCGTTTGCTGCATCTTGCGGTGTCATACAAGCCTGGGTGTATGTACCAGTTATAAAGCAGAGATCAGGTTCATTGAAACCAAGGATATGGTTGGCGCCTTTATTGATGGAGTCTTGAGCTCGTTTTTTCCACTTGAAAGCATATCGTTAGTAAATGCAGTCTTGGCGGAATGATGTTTGGGGTTACATACGCCATTGACGTTTCCTGGGCTGGCGCCCCAGAGCATGGGAATATAGGTTAGACATCCTGGAAAGTTATCAGGCTTGGATTGAGCCCAGTCATAGGCCTAAGTGACATATGTACCATCGCCACAGAAGCCTTGAATCCAGGTTGTTGGTGTGCTGAAGGTTAGGCCTCGCTTGTTCTTGGAAGGATCATAGGGAGGACGATGGATGGTTGTAGCCAGAACAACATGGAGGACGCCAAGAAGGAAACAGGAGATGAAGAATAGTCTGGAGAACATCTCAAGATACTGATGTTTAGGAGTTTATTGGTTTTGGAGCGCTGTACTTCTGTTAGTGCATGTTTGTCATAGGCTTAAATGAAAATTAAGGAGTTCAAATAAGGAGTGTTGAAAAGAAGAAGGCATTGAACGAAGTGAAGCCTAAATATAGAAGAAATACTCCTAGAAAAAGCGAATACTTCAATCTCCTCTAATTAGACCTCATATGACCTTTTATAAATGTTTGTAGAGCATAAAAGGACGGGTCGATGAAAAGAAAGGCAGTAAAGGGTCCATGTGCGATGCTTTAAAGAGCTAGAGTGTTGAGTGAAACAGTGTCAAGTGGGGCTAAGAGAGAATGGGGAAGCTGATAGAAGGAATCCTAGAAGGCTTGCCTCTAACCTGAAGAAAAGTAAGAGACAAGATACTGGAAACACTAAACACCAAGCCCCTCACACAGAGGAACGCACAGAGAGGGACTCAAAAAAATTGAAATACTCAATAAAAACACCCCCAGAAACAAAATCTCAAACTTACTGTAGTTCGCAGAACTCAGAAGAGCCTACCAGGGCAAGGGATTGTTGTAAACCTAAGAGTAATGAGCGTTTAAAAGCTAGAGTTCTTAGCTAGGCAAGTAGCAAAACACAGATGCTTGAAAAGATCGTAAGATGTAGTTTTGAAGCAGAAGAAGGCAGAAGAAGAAGCAAGAGGGGTAATTTATATTCGTCTATCTGCTATACCCCTCATTACAAGACAATATTACACCATCGTGCCCACGAGGACAAGAGCGCATTAAAGCCACTATTCGCTTTATATTCAGAGTAGAAATGAAGCCTTCGAAACTCACTTCATCCAAGAAAAGGCGTGATTGGTTGAATGAGCTTGTCTTACAAGGGAAGGTATCGCTAAAGTGGACACCTTCACTCATCTACCTCTGCCACGTTCCCTTTACAGCTATCTCGCTAGAAGGAATATAAGGAATAGTTCTAGAATCTTCGTTGTAATCTAGATACACCGATTAGCAAGTTACGAAAATATGCAAGGTCTTTTGGTCTGTTCTTCAAGTTGAGCAAATCAAGTAAGACAAGACAAGCGGTGTTAACCTAAAGTAGGCAAATACAAATAGAATAATGTTGTGCTGGGTCTACTTTCTCTTTTGCTCCACTTCCTTATTTGATCCACTTATAGTTCTGGTGCCTAAATGCTTCATGTCTACCTAAACCTTACACTCTTTATATAAACACCTTAGATAGCTACCTTTTACAATGCAATCAATTCTCCATGACCTTCAGTACCCAATACCCTTTCAACCCAATAAATAATATCCTTTCTCACTATTCGTATAACTTGTTAAACGGTAGATCTATTGACATAGCTTAAATAAACCGTCCACTGAGAATGATGGTTATCTGGAACAATGCCCCGAACTGCGGATTGATCTAGTCCAACTTCTTGGCTAGAAGTGAATACCTTCAAAACAGGCCAATATAATTCAACACCAAAACCATCTTCGTAAAAAGCTTTAAATCAAGCCTCATTTCAACTCTCATTCCAACAAAAAACAAGCTGCGCTATAAATCTACCCTATTCAACTTCTCAATCAACGAATAAATATCCCTTCCACAAGATAATAAAACATCCAAAAACAACTCAAACCTACTATATCTCAAGAAAAACGAAACAACAACACCTAAGCAAGGAAACAAGGGGAGAAAGCTAGGTTATACTTTCCCTAATCTATAGCTATATAATAAGACATGTCCTACTTCTTGAGTAAGAGAAGAGTGAAGAAGCATCCTAATAATATAACTCGATCTTTTCATCCACGCTCGTCCTGCTCACGGGTGAAGGGGGTATATATATGGGACCAGCAGCTGGGGTTTGGAGAGCCCAGGGTGCCACACGCTCTCCTAATAACAACAAATTACACCCCTCCCCCCTCCGCTCCCTTCCCGCACATTATCAAAAAGAAGAATCAGAATCAGAAACAAAAGAGCACATCAAGAAACCAGTCATCAGTCAGAAAAACAACTTCGTTTTTTTGGTCCTATGTTCCCATTATCATCATCAATCACCCAATACCCATTGCATTCATCAACCTCCATCTATCACATCCATCACAATTCATCCATCCTAACATCCTAACATCCCATTCCTATTCCATATGTACGTATTTTTGTTCCCCCAGGAATGTTTTAGGACCTCCCCTACCAGACCAACCAAACCAATCAATCCATTCAGTCCTCCCGGACCCAGATCAATCTCCATCCATAGCAAAAGCACAACTTTTTTGTCCAAAAGGAAGAAATACAGAAGAAGAAAGTAAACAATTTTACTCCTCATCGAGACGATCCATCATTGATTCGTAAAGTTACCGTCACGAACCCCCAAACGCGAAAATGATTAATCAACCAGTCTATAATGGCGAAGAAGAAAAAAACAATGCTCCTGCCGTAACGAACCACCCAAAGCAGAAGCTCGGGAAAAAAAAGGACATGCAAGAAACAGAGAACCGCTCAAAGGTACAATCGAGGAGAAAAGATAAGAGAGCAATCATGATGATGCCCAACCCAACCCGCAAAAATGCTCACGACCAGAATAGGATGAGAAAGTGGTTCCGTATGACTGTAAACCAGACCAGGCAAAATGAGCCCTTTTTGGATCTTGTAATTTCGTATCGACGTTGAAATTTTCGATCACTCTCATTCAAGAGGTAATCAAAACAACCCCAGTCAAGTTCGAAGCACATCAAGCTAGTCGAACAGGTCTGGGTAGGTCGACGATGATGAAGGATATAATTCGTAAGATAACAATTTGGTGAAAAGCGATGTCGTTGATCCGAATTCATCATCCGCGGATTGCTGTCGCAGTATGAGCATCGTGGAATGAGAGACCATTATGCATGCTGTAAGGGTACATCGAAGACATACCCGTGACAAATCCCGTCATGGGAGCGGGAGAAGTGGAGCGAGAAGACTGTTGCTTATCATTTGGTTGAATACGTGGTGGAGGAGCTTTCTTTTCCCTCATCAATGGAGAACAATCGGCAGAGTCTGGAGTGGCAAGGACATATCCCTCATCATTAGCGCCATCGAGCTGTCCTGGTGAGAGTGTGCCATCTCTATGCTGTGGTGAACTCTTGACCGATCCGAACTATTGGTGATGTTAGCTTCTGACTTCATGCCCTCCACGGCCCCAGTGGCGACTGTTGGGACGTACAAAGCAGTATTTATCCAACAATTCGTTGTATGATTGAGAAGCGAGAACCGGCTTCTCGGTGCCAGCGGGACGAGGAGAATCTGCACCGCTGGCAGAAGGTAATGCCGCTGGTGCTATAAATGCAGAAGCTGGGGCGGAAGATGTCCCTTTGTCTACACGCTGGTTGCTCTTGGTAGATAATGGTGACATTGCCTCGTCGGGAGCAGGTACAAACTTTCGTCTGGTATGATGCTTGGCCGAGGGTTTCATTGGAATGCCGCTTCGGTCACCCAGAACACTGTTTGCTGCTTGTATAGCTGCGGACAAGGAGGCACCAAAATCGTACCGATTTCCAAAGGCCTGCCCATAAGGCTGAGGAGCACGTCGGGTAAGATTATCCGAACCAAGATTGACAGCGGACTTGACACCCTTCAGACGAATCGACGTGCCAGATTCCCCCAGAAAGTCGCTAACGGGTTGTTTCAAATCATAGGAGTATTTGGCGTCAAATCCGTCAGCAAAGTCATCAAAAGTTACTGGCATGGTCTTGGATTTGGCAATGGACGGCGAAACCTTTTTATTACTTCGTGGAAGCGAGTTCGAGGAAGACCGGCCTTCAGCGTTTCGACCCTTCTTGCCATTTTGGGGCTTGGCCTTCTTTCGAAAGTCGATTTGGAAGTTGGTGGCATTATTGTTATCCCAGTACTCGGTACCATTGACGACATATTTGACGCAGAAGAACATCGTCTTTGCCTCAAGGTTGGCCTGGTCGGCCAATTTGACGTTGAAGTTGAAACGATCATAGCCATCTATATGTTTGGGCTGGCGTACATCGTTGTTGTATTCAGCAACCACCTCCGAAGTGGTCTTCCAGTAATCGAGAGTGAAGCGTGCGACAACGTATTTGTTAAATGCTAGATTAGCCACCGCAACACTACCAACCAAGTTCTTGTTATCAGCAGATAAGAAGACTCGTTCAACTCGAACGGGTAGTGATAGTCGGTGGGGTGTTTCGGCAGGGAAGTTGGAGACGACAATTTCCCACTCGAATGGTGGGCCACGACCTTGTGATTCCTCAAATGGAAACTCGCCATCACTCTCGTATGCTTCTACTGGTGATGAGCCTGCACTTACCGCCAAGGGTCGGTCCACTTGGAGGAAGTGTCTAACATGCTCGAGATGAGAATCAAAGTGTACTGCCTTGGAATATGTTGGAGTTCCAGGCATACTGGAGGGTCGCCGCCTTGCGGAAGAGGGTCGGAGTGCTGGTCGGACAAGCTCACCAGACTTCTTTCTTAGCATCGGTGGTTTACTTCCGTTTCGGTCTCCATCGTCACTATATTCCTCGTCGGAGAGGGTCAAAGGGGTTTCGGGAGAGAGGCTGGTTTGCATATTGGCCAAAACCGAGGAGTCCGTGTTTGAACGATTGTGAGAAATCTTTCGTACCATATTTTGTGCCGCCTCTTCAACTCGTTGCAGTGTTGGTAGGTCAATTGTTTCCGATGGCATGATTAATGAAAGTTGTTGATTGACCTTTCCTACTTCCTCTGCTGCCCGAATTGGTGAACTTTCACGGTGTTGACCTATGGTTCGTATAACCTTCTGAAGCTCGGCGAGGTTTTCCAAGTCTCGGCTGGAACGCTTGCTATCCTCATCATCACTCGAGTTTTGTCCCGAGTCAGGAGGAGAGATTACGGCACCAACCGGTATCTGTTTGTCGTCCGTCAATGGTGGGGGTGACTGGCGTAGGCTGCCTGATGAAGGTAGGCTGTGTTTGTCATTGCTTTCCTTATCAGCTGTGCCTGGTGGTGAAGGCTCTTCTACGAGATCAAATGTGGGAGTCTTGACCGATGCAGTTCGTCGATGGCGTGTCAGATAGGAAGTGGAACGAGGAAGTTCCGGTCTACTGGAGGAGGCTGGAGACGATTGGTAGCCGCCATATTGATTATGCTGATAAGAAGAACGGCGGCTAAGGTTAGGGGACTGCGGATTAGAGGAAGCTGGGGATCTCTGGGACGGAGGAGTATAAGGCATCCGGACGATGGGAGTGGATGGTGGAAAGTCGAACTGCTCAGCTGGAAGAAGGCTGATCGGAGTGTCTTCGAAGAGCAGACGAGTGGAGGTCTTTTGCATGAAGACTCGAACTGAACAGGAGTATTAATGCTCTGCGGGACAAGGCCAGAGCAGGAATTAGCCGGGTCCCAGCGGAGGGGGAAAGGGTGAATGCGGATGGAGGTGGTGAAAGACAATGACAAATCGTTTTAGGTGCAAGTGAGATTCATAGGTAGACATTGAGCGGGGTGTTGGGAGATTCATTCAAGCTGACTTACAATATGTGTGAGTCTTTGAGCGGAACTCGAGACGAGGCGGGACGGCGGGCGAGCGAGGATGAAGGCTCTAGGTGGGGAGAGTCGGACACGACGTGTTCCAGCTATCGCGTCGTCGTTTCTGTAAGGAAGAAGAATTGTATGGCAAGGACGATCGACGTCGGGTTGCGGTTTGACCGTGGGGAAGATTGCGAAAGCCTTCCGTGTTTCGGAGAGGAAAAGACGTGAGAGAGAGATAGGAAGGAAGGTGGTGGTGAAGAGAGTCGCCGAGGAGGTACGGAGGTACCAGGACAAAGTCAATCACGACTTATCTACCTGTTCCTTCTATGTTCGACGAGCGACTTTTTTTGGTGTTGGTGTTGGTGTTGGATATTGTTGCAGGTGCAAGCTCGACTCTGATGAGGAGCAGACAAATGCCTCTATGATGAGATGACGTCTTGCACGTAGACTAAGCTCGCAGGCGGAATGCGATGCAATTGAATACGATGAGGAGACTCTGCGAGTGAATCAAGTCGGATGTTGGAGGCGGGCAATGGCCTAGAGGTATATGGAGCGGCCGTGTGGTGGTGAAGGGGGAGGTGGTGGAGGAGGAGAGTAGCCTTTTGATCTGAGAAATCACTCGGAGTGGGAGTGGGAGAGTTGACCGGGGGGGAGTGCAGAGAGCAGAGTGCAGAGTGCAGCCTAGGCAAAGGTTATGGGTGATGTTATGGGTTATGGGTTATGGGTTACGGGTTACGGGGGTGGGATTAGTAGTGGAGTCTCGTCTCCAAGGGGGCGATCAAGACCGGGCCATGGAAGGCGAGGCACGAAGCGAGACGGGGATGAGGTCCAATGCACTGCATCTGCATCCTTCGCATTGGTTGGTGGGTGTGGGTTGGTAGGGAGCATATCTCTGATCTCTCTGATATGCTCTTTCTAAAAAGTGGATGCAGTGGGGGGAGCCCTGCGCATGCAGTAGTTTGCAATAGTTTGCAGTAGTTTGCAGTAGTTTGCAGTAGTTTACAGTAGTTTACAGTAGTTTACAGTAGTTTACAGTAGTTTACAGTAGGTCACAGTAGGTCACAGTAGGTTATAGTAGTTGGAAGAATTGATGGATTGATTGGGGGGCCTCGGCTGTAGCGTGCTCTTGAGTCTGGTCTCTATTCGAGTACGAGTGCTGAGTGGAGAGGCGTCTGGGGTCAAGACTCTTGGGGCGCGGCTTTTGATGGCTTGTGGTGTGGGTGTGGGTGTGGGTGTGGGTACCAGATACCGGTCCCAGTGCGAGAGATGTAAGTGACATGCTGCTTTCGATATTGCCGCATTGAGGATGGTGGTACCAACACTTTGCTTGCCCGTCGGTTGATTGATTGATTGACTGACTGATTGATCGATTGCTCCTGATATCTGTCGACTGTACAGTACATGCGAAGTATATCTGTCGAGAAAATGGGAAAGAAGCTCGTACTCGAGATTGCAATACACGACCTCATTTACGACATGGTATGCCGTTGCCGTCGAGTTTGGTATAAATTTACTCCGTACCGACATGTTTGGTTGAGCTCCAGCCGTCTCGCGTCTCCATCTCAACCCATCACCATCATGGGCCTCCCCTCCTCTCACTCTCCCTTCCCCGGTCTCCGGCGGTCCCTCTCTCCGTTGCATCCATTTTTTTCCCAACTGCCACTTTCAAACATGTCACCCCACCAGCTAATTAAGCTCCGGTGCTGGGGCATCGGAGTACAAAGTAGGATCGCAGATTGCCTGACATGCATCTCACCCCGCCTGGCGGTGGAAGTGGGTGGAGGTGGGTATGGATATGTGGATATTGCTGGTGCTGCGAATGCAACCTACTAGAACTTCTCCAGCGTCTCCAGCGTCTCCAGCGTCTCCAGCGTCTCCAGCTTCTCCTCAACTCCAGCAAATCTCAGCGGCCCTCTCCACTTTCACGTCAGTGTCTTCCTATCATCTATCATCAATCAACGTGCGGAGCCACCCCGTACATTAGATCGAGCACTATCGTGATAGACATGCCGATGCAGCTGGATGTCGATGGCAATGGCGTCCACCGTCGCAAGTTAAGAAGTGTGGTGCCAGTATTTGATGGAGCCAAATGAAGAGCTGGGAAAAGTTTCAGTTCCAATTTTGATAAGGCGTATCTAGGTACATCTTCGTACATCTAGGTACATCTAGGTACAGTGCAGACTGTACTTCATACATACTGTACCGCTACAGTACTCCATAGATGGCGATGGACATGCTCCGTACTCGCACAGTATGTAAGATCTTAGTCGTAACATGTCTATGCAGGAGCACACAACGGCTATTCTACATTCCAGAAATTCTAGACTTCCATCACCGCAACCACAAATCGCCACAGCCACAACCAGCAAGGGGGCAGCCACAACGCTGTCACAGATTGAGGGCAGCCATTACGTAGCGTCATAGCTCTATGCTACCTCGACCTCGACCTCGACCAAAACATACCGGTATCCCGTACAGATACTCGTATCTTTACTACCAATTCCATCCGCCAATAATGCTGATACCATGTTGATTCGCGTTATCAAAGCAACGCCGTCATCCAATTCCTTCCAACTCCTTCCAACTTTCACAGATACCTACTCCGTCCCCTACGTCAAATTCTGGTCAGCTCCGATTTCTCAACATTCTTCTGCAAACAGTGGTAGTCAGCGGAACTCTGCCGTCCACGGCGGGAAGTCTTTCCGTACTTTGTACCCGCACCTTGGCCTCAAAACAGAACCAGAGCGCTTCCAACTGCTTCTGTACTGCCGCCGTGGGCAAGAATGGAGTACGAATTCAGAGTATGGTTAGTCAACCCTCAATGAAGACCAGTGGCAACCTGGAACAGAAGGAGGGGGGTATGTTATACAACTCCATCAACATCGTCTTGTTGGGGTGTTGTGTTGATTACGGATATCGCTCTTTGATCTCGCCATTCAATTGAACCATTCACACTCACCCAAACTCAAAAAGGGCAGAGAAAAGAATTGGCATGCATCCATAACCGGGGGGTTGAAGGCAAGCCAAGATCATCAAGACCGCCATGCATCAACCCCAGTCTCTCGGTCATTGGCCAAGTATCCAAGACACAATATCCCTGTCGACATCCTCCTCCCAAAAAAAAGGGTTGGCTTGAGCGCAGTGAAGGCAAGTAGTAGTGGGGCAGTGGGGGTGATGGATGGGATGGGTGATGGAAGAGTCGGCAAGGCAGGTCTGGTCTGGCTCTGGTCAATGTTAGCGACCTCCAAGCCTCGACCGCATCTAAACCTCCTGCACTTCTTACACCACCTGCACCTCACCGTATTCTCACCACCAGTCCGTACGAGTAATCCCACTATCAGGACATATCCATGCTCCCACTGAATCCGTCGCAGTCGGTCGCACAACTGATAGAGAATGGGTATGTGAAAACGGCTGTCGTGAGACCATCAACACCACCCACACACTTCCACACTCATACTTGGCTCATCTATTCCACAAGACATCGCGAAATGAGGAGCGTTGAGAGCGTGGGAAGCGCCGGACAGATTTAGCTGCATCTACATCTGCATCTGCATCTTTCACGACGCCTCCAAATGATGTGTAATATCAATGATCTTTCGCATGTACTTCTTTACTGTTACGGTAGAGTCCTTTCCTGCTGCCATGGCAAATTGGATTTGATTACATGAGTTCAACACGCCTGCTTGCAGCCGAATCTTCCTACACACACACACACACACACACACACACACACACACACACACGCACACATCAGGCCTTTTTCAAATCATGCCATTTTTGCTATGGCCATTTAGAGCTCCCTCTACTCGTACCTTGAAGTATCTTTCTGCCATTAGTCCGTACTATGGTCGCGAGTGGCTAGACCTGTCGTTTACACTCCTCGTCTGCAGGATGGACTACTGAGCTTTCACCGAGTAGATAGCCTTTAGACTTTCGAGTCTAAGTACGAGTAGCTGGATAGAGAGGTAGTGTAGTCTGGGGTACTTTTACTTTTACTTTTCCTTTGACTTTTTACTATACGAGTAACAAGTACAGGTTCCATGGCAAGCTAACAAGTAATACTATACGCGTAAGTACAGTACTACTACACAGGTAGGTAAGATTTACTTCTCGCTACCCACGCCTTTATCTAGTAAATCTTATATATCGCTATAATATCTTAACCGCCGTATTTCCGTTTATCCGTCTACCTACCTACCTACCTACCTACCTACCTACCTACCTACCTACCTCCTTGACAAAAAAAGCTCCCCTCCTCTTACTAGCTCCTGTTTAGGATACTATAAGATATATATATACTATTTCTATAACTTCCTACGGTCTCGGCCGCTTACTAGTTCTAAGCTATTTTAAGATATAAGATAGGATAGAATAGTCGTACTTATATTACTAATTATATAATTCTAAAATTTAGATTTCTAATAGCTAAGCTAGCTTAATTAACATAGTATAACTAATCTAATCTACCCCTCTCTTTTATTATAAGTAATTAGAAGATAAATACTATATCTTCGAGTACTTTAACTATTATTACTAACTAAAAAACATATACCTAGGTAAATCTAATATAATTTCTTTCCTATTATATTCGTCTATTTATTTATTTCCTAAGGTTATATATAGGTTAATACCTATCTACTTTACTCGAAGAACCTAGGCGGGTCGTGTTTTTATTATTATTAGACCTAGGTAAAATATTATCGATATAATATTAGAGGCTTAATAATAAGTTATTATATTATAAATATTTTAATAATAATATATTGTAGTTTTAGTAATGACCGATATAATATCGATTATCGGGTTATATAACGCGGATATTCTATAAATCCGCCCCTAGACTAATTAGTATACTTTATTCTAGGGTACTCTTAAGCTTTCATACTACTTACTACCTTACTACTTTACTACTAATACTACTATTACTATTCTATTAATAACGCTTTAAATTTAACTAAAATACTACTACTCGAAGCTACTTCTATTCTGTCTTATAAAAACCCTTAAGGAGAACGCGAATTATTACTAAAAAGACCTCGAGTTAATATAATAGCTAATAAGCCTACTTCATTACCCTAAAGATAAAGAAAGGCGCCCTAGATTAAGCTCTCGAATACCTTTATTTTCCGCTTACTAAACCCTCTCTATATACGCTATAGTATTAATAAACGTTATAATAAAATAGAAATTCGTTATATCTAGCCTAGGTATTCTTATTCCAAAGAAATCTCTTATATAGTTATTTCTACTAGAAATTATAAAGCTTATTATTAAAAAGTACTATTTAATAATTCTCTTATCTAAGTAGGCTTATAAGTTATTCCTAGAATTAAAAGAGAAGCTAAAGAGTATTTTTAATAAACTAACTACTTTATATAACTATGATAAACGTTTTCGTGTTCTACTTCTTAATTTTATTATTAAAAATAACCTTTCTTTCGATATTATTACTTGACTAGAAACTACTACGCTAATTACTTTCCTTTCGCCGAATATAACCTAGATATCTTAGAGGACTTTAGTACGCGATTTATATAAAAGATATTATATTACTAAGAATAGGTTAATAGTTAGATTATAGAAGTATATTAAATTAGGTAGTTATATAAATCTAATAACTAATACTTAGGCTAGAAATAATAAACTCGATTATATTGCTATTATAGTATATT